CCGGAGCCCCAACTCCCCAGGGTTCAGAGGGGGCTCTGGGGCTCCAGCCCCGCTGAACCCCAAAAGCTGCTGCCCCGGGGGGTTTGGGGTGTCTGTGGGTTCCCAGCACCTCTGCTGCCCCTCCCTGGCACAGCCCTGTCCTGGCTGGGGTCTGTGGCCACCTGTCAGAGCCCACCAGTCCCTCTGGGGTCCCCATCTGGCCCCCCAACCCGTCTCCCAGCCCCCAGGCCAGAGCCCTCCCCGGGCCCAAGTGCTACTTATCTTTAAGAGCTTTTGCAATAAGTCTTTTTAGTAATTTTTTTTTTCCTAAACTGCAGTTTTGTTTTTTATTCTTGTCATTTTTATTCTTATTATTTGCTTCCTGACCAAAATTAGGAACTGGGGGTCAGTCCTTTGTATCCAGCGATCACCCAAAGACGACGGGTCGGCCACATCCATAAATTTTCTTATGGATTTCTCCTAATGTTTCATCACGTTTCATTTATTTATTTTCTTTCTTTCTCTTTCCCATTCAAGCTTTTAAAGATGGGGCTGGGATTTGACCTTGAGGCTCACCTGTTGAAGAAAACGCTTTTTTGTTATGTCATCGGCATTTTATATTTCTTATATATAATATATATGACTATATATATATGTGTACATATATATATATATCTATATGCATCATGCCAGTGTAGATACCCATCCAGTAGCATTTAGGCCTTGTTCTTGTGCCATTTTTTTTTTCTGTTACTGATCTCTGAATGCCTTCAAGTGTATAAAGTGTGGAATTCTCTCCGGTATCTGTACTATGTACACACATTTTCATAGGAAGCACAATAAGATGACAGATGCATTGTACATCAATACCTGCTACTCTTAACAACGATGATATAAAGAATGATATAAATGATATAACTCCCCCACGCCGAGCCTTTCTCTCTTGCTGAGCTGCTGGAAATGCTCCCCTGAGGAGGCAGGTGGGGACGGCCTCGTCCCGGGATGGAGCTGAAAGGGAAGGGGGGGAAAAAGGGAAAGGGAAAAGGAGGAAAAAGCTTTGGGCCAGATTTCAGAGCAGGGTGTACCCTGGGTCAGAGCTGAGGCTGAGCTGAGCTTCCCTTTCCTGGTGCCTCATCCAGCTCCAGCCTCACTGATTTCCCAAGGAATTCCTCCCAAGGGACACGGGGTTGGAGGAGGGAATGATTCCCATTCCCCAGCAGGGAAAGGAGAATTAACGCTCACAGAGCTCTTAATCCCTGACAGCTGCAGCACCTCCGTGATTTGGGACCCACCTGAGGTCCATCGGGAGTCACCAGGTGGAATTTCACCCTGGGAGCACAACCCAAATGTAACACACACCTTCTGGCCTAAAAATTTCCAGCTACAAAGAGCAATAGTAACAACAGAGCAGATCCAGCACTGGGCATCCAAAAAAAGCCCTCAGGGCTCCATGGAGACTGAATAATGGGGATGGGAGTGGGCAGGGAAGGCTGAAATGCCAACGCACACCCACACCATCCTCCCCCCGGTCCCTTGGCTCCGGCCGTGTCCCCTGGCTCCTGGAAATGGCAGAAATGCAGTTTTGCATCTCAACGAGAGTGCTCTCACCCCGCTCTGGCGCTTCCCGGCCGGAGCTGGAGCTGCAAAGGCCAGAGGGTGGGATTGGAAGGAGAAGGGGCCAGGAGGGCGTTAATGAACGCGGGTAATTAATCACAGCCCAGCCGTGCCCGCAGCATCCCCCGGCTCCGGGAGGGAGCCGTAATCCCCGCGGGAGCTGCAGGCTGTGCTGCGAGCAGGTCACCCCGTCCATCTGTCACTGCTTGGCTCTCCCAGGGCTCAGGGGAGGTGTCAGAGCCCCAGGGGCAGCACAGCTCTGCAATTCCCGTGGAACGCAGCAGGTACACCCGGGATGGGCAGCAAACGCTGCTCCTTGCAGGCACAAATCTCCAACGTGTCCATCGTGGGGCAGCAGGATGGGGATGGGAACATCAACCTAGAGGATGCAGGGCTTCAGGCTGTTTGGGGTCTGGGGACCTGCAGTCTGCTCAGGACCTGAAGCTCTTTGGGATCCTCACCTGATCGGGATCCAGAGAGCCTCAGCTTATTTGAGATCTGGGGACCTTCAGCCTGTTCAGGATCTGAAGCTCTTTGGGATCCAGGCAGCCTCACCTTGATCAGGATCCAGGGAATCTCGGCTTATTTGATCTGGGGACCTTCAGCCTGCTCAGGATCTGAAGCTCTTTGGGATCCAGGCAGCCTCACCTTGATCAGGATCCAGGGAATCTCGGCTTATTTGAGATCTGGGGACCTTCAGCCCATTCAGATCCACGGAGCCTCAGCCCATGGAGACTCCCAGCCCACTCAGGCTCTGTGGAGATTCTGAGATTCCACCGCCTCCCCTCGTGGGCCAGAATTCCCATTCCCCCCTCGCTGGCTGCCAGGGTAACAGGAGCTGAGGGACAATGGCACGGCCCCAGTGCTGCTGTCCTGCTGTCCTGCAGCCAGAGCAGCCTGGCCGGGCACCAAAGTTTCCATGGAGCCACCGGCAGGTGCAGGGGAGGCATTTCCAAAGCTGTTCCACCAAACCCTCGGGGCAGGAGAAAGGAGCAAAGGCACAATGAGGTCACTCCGAGCCTCTCCAAGCTGAACCATCCCAGTTCTCCCAGCCTTTCCTCCCAGCTGAGCTGCTCCATCCTTTGGATCATCCTGGTGCCTCCTCCTGACTCGCTCCACGTCCTCCCTGTGCTGGGACCCCCAGGCTGCAGGCAGCGCTCATCAGATGATCATCATTAATTTTTTAATTAATACTCGTGGTGTGACTGCGCACTTGGCTTTTTCCATGGATTAAGGCTGACTGGGTTTGTGTCCCTTTTCTCTCTGAGCACAGGAAACTGCTTCAGGGAGAAGGAACTTAATGTTAATACTTGCAGAAAGTGGCCTTTAACTCCAACCTCCTGCTCTGGAGGAACCCCAGGGGAGACAGGAATCCTTTTCCTCTGCCCGAACCTGCACAAGCTGGGCCCATTCACGGCCATTTGTTTTCCCCATAAATTTCATCTCAAGATTCCAGAATCCCTGAGGCTGGAAAAGATCACCAAGTCCAAACTGTGAGTGATCCCCACCAGAGCACCATGAATGCCACGTCCTGTTCCTTGGACACCTCCAGGGATGGCAACTCCACCACCCCCCAGGGCAGCCCCTCACATCCTTTCCATGGAGAAATTCCTCCTGAACGAGGAGGGCAGCTCAGGTGAGGGATGTCACTGCCCCACCTGCACATCAGAGCCCTCCATCCCTGCGAAAGGCGCATCCAACATCCACTTCTCTCTGAGCACATCCCGGAGCAAGGGGGGCTCCAGCACCAGGGGGTAGGGGTTGTAATCATGGCTGGGGAGCGGGGGCTGACACCCCCAACCCCTCCCAGCGTTTGGGACCATCTCGCACCCCAATCCCACCCCTCAACATC